CAGATGTCATTTTAAAGCTCACACTTCATGAATCCACCGCAAGTGTTTGCCACAGACTGGTGCTGCTATTCATGAGTGAACAGCGGAGAAAGCTTGTGCAAGCAAGGCTGTCACTAGTGAGAGTAAATCTTATCCATTTCAATATAAGGAAAGTTTATCAGATAAAACATGAATAAGCCTGAGACGTAGTGATGAGCACTGACCATCACACCCCGGGCGGATGCAACCCGAGTGCTGGGAAGACGGAAGTGGGGACTCTGACAGCACAGGGAGAGACGCAGGGACCCTCGGAGGTGATGCTGTGAGAACAGGGGATCCGTTAACCTGAAGCCTGAATGACGTGCGTTCCCCTGGATCCGGAGGTCATCGCAGCTTCCTCAGAGTCTCCTAGAGAGGCAGAGCTGCCGCACTGTTGACAGCCACAGAGGGCCACGTAGGCAGTGCTGCTGCGTCACTCACTGAAATCAGAAGTGCCCAGCTCGGTTTGCAAGTGGTCACAGTATTGACCGTGATGTGTGCGGGTTTCTGAGATCTTCCAACAATGAAATGTAAAAATATGAATGTGTATTATTGATGGCATTGGGTTTAGCTTAATGTGAGCTGTATGCAATTATCAGCAACTAGCAAAGAGTTTCATTAAGGATAAACGTACTAGAACTGATTATGTATTTATCCTTCTACTTAACTTACCATTTTTAATTCTGCAAATTTATTATGTTTCCTTCTTTCTACCTGACGCATAGGTATCTATGGCTTGATTGGTAGAAATTCTGTTGTGCTTAGTTACAGGTTACTACCTATATCCACTGGAAATGTTCTATTACTAATGGGCAAATGCAGTATTAATGGTTTATTTCCAAAATACTAATTTCCTCCTCGGCTTCAGAAGTGAAATTGTGGGTCTATATATATCTACCTTGGTTCATGAGCTCAAGGCTTTCCAAGATTCCAGTCTAAAACCAAATTGCATGAGAACCAAATCAAATTTCCACATAAAGTCAACATCGAACCTCACCGTGGAATGTGACTCAGTTTTCAACTAAATTAGTAAAAACAATTGAGTTTGTGAACTGAGGTACCACTGCATTTGATTCCACTTGTGTGTGTGTGTGTGTGTGTGTGTTCAAATGTTAAGCATAGGATAGGAAAGTTATTGCAATGACTTACTGAAACATATAAGCCACTGCAATGCTACAAGACTCCATCCTGACAGAGACCAGCCTGCCTGTCATACCCTTCCTGCCTCGTCACTAGGTGTCTTAGGCGCTTCCTCACTGCTGAGACACAAGCTGGACACCCACAGCTTAATGCAGGTAGGCTCATTGTGTCTCAGAGTCAGAAGTTTCAGTCCCTGTTAAGCAGGCTTCACCAGAGAAACGGCATAGGGGGAGGCCCTGGGAAGAGGAAAGAAGCTGGTGTCATGGTGGGCAGCAAGCAGAGAAAGAGGGAGGAGCCAGACATGGAGGGCAGGGGTAAGGGGAAAAATGAGAACCAAGATCTGCCATGTGAAGGTGCAAGATCCCAATGATGAATGTCACCGTACCGTATACCGAAAATGTACCAATAAACTCAATGAAATAAAAAAGATTCATCCTTCTAGGTCTGGCCCCAGTGATCGCCCTCCTCTAGCCTGAGCACATCTCCTAAGGAAAGTAAACTGGATCACTTACATTCAATCACCTTCAAAAGCCCTCCCTGTGACCACATCAGGACATCAGGGACATTCTTAATCTAAACCATAGCACTAGGGTAATACTGCTGTATGCAAAGTAGTTAATAAATAAAAGTGCATTGGCTGTGTGAATAATTCTGTCACATTAGGTCCAAGTGTCCCCTAGGCCCAAAACACAATCTTCCCCTGACCCCAGCCATTCAAAGGAATCTTCAGTCCAGCTTCACTCACTTATCTCCCATGCTCTCCCCACACTGTCCCGTCCACTTTCCATCTTCAATGCTCACCACACTGCAAAACAGAAATCTGCGGCACCCAGGAAACACTTCCGTCTCGCTGGCCCTTTACCTCCTCTGCAGGCCTCACCAGCACTGGCCACCCCTTCCCCTCGGAAACAGTGTGCTGTCCCGCATTTACATGCATCGCTTCCCCTGGTTTTCCTCCAACATCACCGTCCCTCCTTCCCTGTACATTTCTTGGTCCTTTCCCTTTTCTTGTTACCATTGTCTCTTTCCTCATAACCTGTTTGACTTTTCTAGAATTCAACACAGTGTATGTGTCAACAAGGTCAGCAAACACTTTCCAGACTGGACATCACCTGTGCTGCAGATGTATAAATTCATCTATTTATGGGTCTACATGATGCCAAAATGACCTCAGTCTTAACTTGCCCAAAATCTCTACTTCTAACGACCCATTTTCCATTTTGACCCCTTCAGTCTAAGCAAGCAGCACTTCATCTATGAATTTATTTCAGACAAAATTATGAGAGATAAGCTAGACTTTTCTTCTGATCTTATATCTAATTCATTGCCAAATGTACAAAAAGTCTTTATCTTTATCATGATCTTCATCACAGCTACACTTAATGACACCCAAGTTTGTCTTCCCAGGAGAACTCTACTGTGTTCCTTCCTAAGTAGTCGCTTTTCTCCCCATAGCAATCTTCTCCACAGAAGCTTTGATTATGTTATAAAACTGAATATACATTTGCTTTCCTGCAATGCTCCTGCAGACCTGCATATCTGGATAGACGTGACTCACACTTCTTCCCCTGGCTGTTGGGGCCAAGTCTGGTCATGTGCTGACCTCCTCTGCAACCTCCCTCATCTCACGCAACCCCAGCCCAATGCCTCGCTCTCCACACTTCAGCCTCTCTGCTTTCTTTCTGTGCCCTACACACATCACACATCTTCCTACAACTTATCCTGTCCCCTGCTCACGTCCATGGAGCATTTGTCCCTCAGGTCTTCACATGACTGGCTTCTCCTTATTGCAGCCTTGGCTTAATGCCACTCTCTCAGGGAGAGCTCCTTCATGCGTAGAGTGAAGTGTGGAGAATCCATTCTCTCCGTCCCACGGCCTTGATATCTTTTCATCAGAGTACTTCTGCTCTCTGAAATTTGTTTTTGTTAAATATCTCTTCGGTTATTGTCTCTCTTCCCTGACATTAGGTGGACTCTGTGAGTCTTTTCTATCTTGTCCCAGTAGAATCCTCTGATTCTACAACAGTCCAGGATACAATCCTTGCTCTGAAAATTACCTGTGGTCCAAACACAACAACCAGTGTCCTGTTGAACTGATCACTGTGAGGCTGTAGAGAGGAAGGGGTTCAACCTCCAACATCCTTTAATTCTTATGACCACCACGTCTGTCCCACTGCCTGTGAGAAATTCAGACAAACATGGTCTTTTTAAATCCCTCTAAATCTAGGTATTCACAAGTATAGAAAAGGCAATCTGAAGAAAAAGAGGGAAATTTTCCTTGAAATTTTACTTCTCTAATGGATCTCTTATGATCTGTGCAAATTTCAAAGATTTTCAGTAAAAGTAAAGGCCTTGCTGGTGAAAGGTGAGGAAGGAAGTGGAGATGGAGCTAACCCACTAGGGCTGCTTAAGAAAAAGAGAGGGAACAATGGGAAATAGCCTATGAAATTGGGTTAAGACCCCAATAGACCAATGGGATTTCCTTTCCTTGCTTATTGGCCTTAAGCCCACGAGATGGTATTGGCCCCCACACTCTCTTTGCACTCCTGCTAGTACGTAGACTTTGAGGCACCAAACATTGCCGATAGTCTGATTATTTTTCACTTAAATGTAGATTCTCATCCATTTGATTTAAACTAGTTCAAACCATTTTGTGGGTCCAAGTCAGAGAATGTAGGCTGTGAGGGGAAACTGGTAGTACAGAAAGGTTCAGAGGAGATTAATGAAATGAACACTAGCCTATGTCAGGTTTCCAGACCTGTAACTGAGGCAACAAAGAACTTCCCACAGATGCTGGTTGTCTACAGGGTGATTCCAAGTACAAAGCATCTGTATTTCCACGGCAGGCTGCTAAGAGCAGACGAGAGAGTGCTAACCCCAACCCGCACCACAGCCCCCCACACAGAGATACAGCACATAACCACGGAACTCAGGAAGAAAGAAGGGAGGTGACGGAGGATACTGCTCAGTTCAGCCCCACGCATGACAGGAGCATCAGCACTGAGCCTGGGGAGGAAGGAACACAGGACCTTCTGGGGAAAACCGCTCAAATCTAGGCTCCAGCTGAAACTTTTAGAGAAATCTTTTAAAGTACAATATTTTACTACTTTCTACTGAAAAAGAGAACCATGTTATACACATAAAATATAATAGAACTGTGCAATAGAATTTTCTTTTTAAAGAGAAATCTTCCCTTTGTTGGCGTAAAGCAATAAAATAGAGGGAAGTGCTATATCTGGAAATCAGTTTAACGTCTTATTCCTAAGTCCTCTCAAGGCCCTGAGCTATGTGATTTGAGTCTGGAGTTTTTACTCGAGACTTGAAAAGAAATGGCTTCTGTAACAAATCCTCTCACACGAGCCTCATAGGAAGGACAAGCACCCAGGCTCCTATCGCTGGAAATAACTTAGAATCCACAGAGTGCATTGTGAAATGGGAAGAAAGAGGCTAAAGGTGTAGGAAAGGTGGGACGGGTAGGGGAAGGGTAATAAGGGAAAAGAAAAAAAAATGTGAGATAATGAAAAGATGGAAATAAAGTGTTTGTAGATGGGGAGGGGAGGAGGGGGTGAAGGGAGGGCAGGGACAAGGGGAGGAAATGAGAACCAAGACCTGTCATGTAGAGGTACAAGATCCCAACAATGAATGTAACTGTACTGTATCCCTAAAATGTACCAATAAACTCAATTAAAGCTGAAAGAAAAAAAAAAGAATCCACAGAGTGAAGGTAACTTCACCAAAGAAAATGTCTCAAGCTTTAAGGAAGTTGGCCTGGACACAGTGAGGAAGTTAACTCCATTCCTACTCCCACCGACCGTGGCTCACCAGCTAAGGGGCGCACTTACGTCGGGTGTCCCTGGCCAAAGCCAGGGGAGGACTCAGCACCATCAGGGTCACTGCCATGAGGAGAGGCGCCATGCAGGAGCCTCCGGGGAGCCACAGACACAGCATGCTGGAAAAGAGGAGAGGACTTGGTCGGAGCAGAGCAGTGAAGTCCTACTTGAGGAGAAATATGTCCCCTGTCCACCTACATTCCAAATAAGAACCGAGAAACTCATTTCTTTGGTGCCGGGTGGGGCAAGCCCGGTGTAGAAGAACCAATCAGCATCAGAGGTGAGTCGCATCATCAGTTGCTAGTCAGAGTTTCAAAATGAAGGTCCTCTTCAGAAACTTAGAATTTCCTTCATTGAAAGGACTGTTTTTATGTCATATTTTAAAGGTCTGATTCGGTCACATCTGAAACATTTTAATTGGACTGCTATGGTGAACCAGCTCTGTGATGGACGGTGCTGCGTTCGCAGGTTTGAGCCTTGCAGCAGCCGTCATCTCTCACTGGAAGGCAGAGCAACCCGAACATCTCCACGGTGAGGTTAGGAGTAAAAGTGCAGGGGGCGGGAAGATCACTGAAAGTAGGACAGCTTCAATTTGGTCCTCGTGGCACCATCATTTAGTGTTGCTGATTTGGGGAAAGTATTTAACCTCACAGTTGAAATGAAAGTACTGAGATCCCTCCAGATACGTGAACGCAGAAGACTGCTGTGATTCTCTAGGCTCCTCCTAGAGCAGCGCTCCCTGGTAACTGATGATGCGGCAGAAATAAAGCTGTTGATTGGCTAGCCATTTCTGGTACGCTAAAAAGGTCAGTTAATTAGTTAACTTCAGTAAGGAAGTCTTTCAAGTTTGTCTCCTGATATTTTCAGTGATTTTAGTGGCACCCCCAAAATGCACATGTGAAAGAGCTTCCATTTTTATTAAATAGAGAGATTTGAGTGTTTCTTTGTGTAGGACTTTAACCCCAAAATATGATCGGGCCGCTGTTCAAATCAAAATATTCAGGGACTGAAAGATTAGTAAAGGATTCAAAGTCTGTCATAATAACTCTGCTTTAAGACAGTTAATGTTTTATGTGAAATCTGTTCAATAAAACCAGGCATGGTGCCACACACTTGTAATTCCAGAACTATGGTTGTCCGAGGCAGGAGCGTTGCAAGTTTCAGCACCACCTGGGGCATTTAGTGGCTCAGCAAGACCCTGTCTCAAAATAAAAACTGTAAAAGACTGGGGATGTAGCTCAGTGTAAAGGAGCTGTGTTCAATCCAGAGCACCACAGTAAACAAGGAGGAAAAGGAGGAGAGGGAGAGGGAGGAGGAGGAGAAGGAGGAGGATCACTCAGTCCATTAATCCTGGTTCCCATCATGATCCCTCCTCTTAGTAAGGGCACAGCTCTTCATCACTACCCTTTACTTACCTTACCTGAGGGAAAATATACGAAGACTTTACTCCTGAATACACTGTGGAATGCTCAGAAAATGGTTTGAAAAAGTACAGATTGCATCATTTAAAGTAATCATATAATTTTTAAAATATAACTGTACTGCTAGGTACTTGTCACACATTATATAGCGGCAAATGCAAAGTCTCAGGTTTGGAATGGAAGTTAGGGTGTTGCATATAAAGTTCTCATGAACTGTGATTCCCCACGTGCCCCAGTATTTCTAGAGACAGGATAGGGACTGAGCAGCAATAAGAAGCACCAAAATTGGAGGATGAAGGGAGGGCAGGGGAAGAGGGAAAAATAAAAACCAAGATACATCATGTAAAGGAACAAGATCCCAATGATGAATGTAAATGCATTTTATACCTAAAATGTACCAATAAAAGAATTTAAGAGAAAAAAGCATAAAATTAATTAAGTGAATAAAATTAATTCTGTCACCTTTGAGCATTTTGCTTTGTATTCCAAATTCTTTTAAAGGCCTTGTATGCAACATATTTTCCATATTTTTATTAGTACACGTTTGCAATGCATAATGAACTCCTTTATCTCGGGGAGTTGGTAAATATACATATTAACTCTTAGCCCTTTTTATTTTCTCTTCTCCGCTCTTCCTGCCTTCTCCCTCCATCCCTAGAGTTAGTGTTTTATGTCAAACACATTTTAATTCTAAATATAGTTAAAGAAACGGCTATCTAAACTTCTTTGTAGGGCTGGGGATTTAGCTCAGTGGTTCCACTGCTTGCCTCGCAGGTGGCATGTCCTGAGTTCGATCCCTGGTACAAAAAAAAAAGAGGAAGGAAGAAAGTTTGGGGCTGGGGATTTAGCTCTGTGGTTCTGCTGCCTGCCTTGCAAGCACAAGGTCCCTAGTTCAATCCCTGGTACAAAAAAACAGAAACAAAAACTTGTTTGTACAATTTGACATGCAGTTAACAAATCACAGAAATTTATTTTGTGATAAACAACTGCACTAAACTCTGCATGTTAGGCACACTTGTGAGGACAATAATGTGCTCTTTTAAGCATTGTAATATCACACTTTTCTTCAATATTAACTCAACATACAGACAGTTCAAGGAAAACATTGTAACAAATGTCAACAAAGCATAATCCTTCTGGTGATATCTGGACTGAACTTTTTGTGAAAGAAAGAGGAGGAGAGGTTCTCTTCACCTTCTGCTGTGTGTAGAGGTGTTGACTAAAGGTTTATTTTCTCAGCAAAAGGCAACTGAATTGATTTGTGGAAGAAAGTTGTTAGCAGTATTGAAATTCTACATCCTCTTATTTTATTTTTTTCAAATTATTTTTTTCAATTTGTACTTTTCAATTTTAATTGACAAATAACTTCACATATTGTATTTGTGATGCTTTGATGTATATATATATATGTATACATATATATATGTATATATGCACAATAAGGAGTTGTTAAGTAAAATTAACTAACAGAAATATTATCTCATGTACTTACCTTTTTTACAGGAAGAACATTAAAAGTTTACTGTCTTAGAAATTTGAAATGTACAATGTATTGTTAACTTGTATTTATGCTACAAAGTAGATCTCAGAAACTTTTACTTCACCTATCTAAGTAACATTTATACCTTTTGAACCATGTTTTCCCTATGTGTTTCTATATGGATGCTTGAAAGCATGCTGTTTTTGTGGGAAACAAAGAAGGTTAACCCTGGAACTGCACACCAGCCAGCCAGTCAGACTCTTGGGTCAGGTGCTGAACAGGCTCACAACAATTTACAAGCACTGAAGATACTGCACACTACTCAAAATAGCTTTCAAAATTGACTAAACACCAATTTACATATTAAAGAAACTAAAAATATCCCAACCAGTACAAATAAAAATACCCTAGGCAGAGCCTAATGAAACATCAGAATGCTTCAGACAGAATTATCTTAAAAGGCAACCAGGGAGGAAGAAACACAGATTATTTTCAAAGAATGAAATTTAGACTAACTGCTAACTTTCCAGCAGCAACAATGAGAGCCAGAAATAATTCAGTGACATATGCTCAAAGAAAATAACTTTCCACCTGGAACCCTAAATCCAATGAGTGTATCTCTCAGACTGAAAAAATTATTTTCAGATTTTAAAATCCAAGATAATTTAACCGCCACCATATTCTAATGGAGAAAATACTAAAGGATATACTTCAGCTAGCAGACAAGTGACATCATAGCAAAGTCTGAAATGAAATGCAAACTCAAGAACAAAGTAATAAATATCCCCAAATATCCCAGGTACAAAAAAAAGTAGCAATTATGAGGAGCTATTCTTAAATAGGCTTCTATCTGTCATCCAAAAGTTAAGTAAAGAAATTGATTGAAAAGTGTTTGTAGATGGGGAGGGGAGGAGGGGGTGAAGGGAGGGCAGGGGTAAGGGAAAAAAATGAGAACCAAGACTTGTCATGTAGAGGTACAAGATCCCAACAATGAATGTAACTGTACTGTATCCCTAAAATGTACCAATAAACTCAACTAAAGCTGAAAAAAAAAAGAAATTGATTGAATTTGGGCCTGAATGCTTTGCCTTGTCATTTCTAAAGGGAACATTAAATAACAGAAATAGTGTAACACTCCCAAATTTGTCAAAAAAAATAAGGAATTGTGAATATATACATCACTCAGCCCTACAATTTCCTGATTGTATCCTACATTTCTGGGGTCCACTCCATTAAAGCTAAACATTACCAGAGAAAAAACTTCAAAGCTTCAACCAATCTGAAAGTCAACTTTAAAACAGAAGTTTAAACTATAACACTTCCCTTACTGTTTCATTGTATTGCTTTTACCCAAGTGTCTCTAGCCTTTAAAAATAATTAATAAATATGCATCTTAGAAGTTTGCTTGTAATTTACTTGCTATAATTTACAATTGGTCTTTTAGAGGATAAAATGGTATAATGTTGTTAGAAACATTTAAAAGATTAACAAAATATTTATATTTGTGAGTGATCATTTAACACAAAAAATGAAGTTAAGATCTCATTACCCTTTCTTTTATTTAAGAGAAAGAAGTCCAAAAGGTGCTTTGGGTGGTTAATGTGGGCACCTCACCAGGGTAAGGAACCATCAGAGTGCATCAAATTGGTGTTAAGATTTAGCATAAACACACAGTTATAAATTGGGACAGTGTTAAGATACAAACATTCATTCCACAACAACTTCCTTGGAAAATATTTGTTCAAGGCTTTTGTCTTTTTTTAAACCAAAGATCTTTCCTTTTTGTTTTTGCTTTATTCTGCTATTGAGTTTTAAAAATTATTATATATTTTGAACATTAACTCCTTGCCAAATATATAGTTTTCAAGTATTTTCTCCCATTCTTAGGTTTTTTATTTCATTATTTCTTTTGCTATACACACTTAGTTTTTAGTTTAATGTATGATTAAGTGAAATTAGCAAATTACAGAAGTACAAATACTATAATATTCTATTTAATATGAACTGTCTAAAGTAGTCAAACTCAGGAGTATTGAACACAATAATGATTCTCAGGGACTAGAGGTGCGTGTTGAGGCATGAATGGAGAGTTACCATCCAAAGTGTTTCAGTTATGCTTCATGAATAAGTTTTAGATATTTGCCATACAACACAGTGTTTGTTGCTTTAAAATAGAATTATATCCTTAAAAACTTACTTAGACTTGCTTTGTGGTCTGATATATTTCGTAACCTGGAGAACATTTCATGCTTGCTTGATAAATGTATATAGAAAACTTTAAAGATTCCACCAAAAATAATTCAATTAATA